GCAGCCCCCGCCCCGCCCTCCCCTTGGGCCAGCCCGGACTTGGGGGACTGGAACCTTGGAGACCCCGCGGACTGTGGAGTGGGTCCGGGCTGCGGAGAAACACGCAAAGATGCGGGATTTGCTCTGGCCATCTCTTTCATTGGCGCCCTCCTCCACCGTGTCCAAGTCTATATTTTCGAGATAATTCCCTCAAAAACGGCATGAAGTTGTCAAAGATTCAGTTTTCCATGGGTTTCTGGTACTTCCACCCAAAGGCGAGGACGTTGAGCTGCAAGATTGGCCTCTCTAGACTGAGGCGTCCCCCGCTTGGGTGGACGGAAGAGAGGAGTTGGGGGGGGGGCAGGGGGGGTCTCCTCCAGGGTGGGGAGAGTCGACCCCACAGGACAATGCGAACGCTCAAGTAAGCCGCTTCCCACCGCAGTTCCGCAAGCTGTGCGGCCCAGCCAAGCCCGGCGGTCGCTCTCTGAGCTCACCTGAAAAATAAAGATAGTCATATCTCTCCTACTCACCCTAGAGACCTTTTAAACCACACAGGTCCTGAGAGATGACCTGGGAACTGGAAAAACAAACTACAAGTTATAATTCCCAGTAACATTTCCAAAGCCCAAAGAAGACTCAGTGTTTCACATCAGAGAACAAATGAGGAGACCACATAGGTCCCGTGTGAAAATGATACACTAGTAGAAGGTAGGCATGCCTCCTAGGAGTCACATGGGCATGCTAGCCTTCAGAGATCTTGCATCTTCACCACTCACTATTATATGATCTGTTGAGTCCAGTATGATGGGCTAGTAGTCCAACGAAATTATTGAGCACCACGGGGCTGGTGTGACTGTGTGGCTGAGTTATCGATCCACGAACCAGGAGGTTGGGGTGCATGCCCGATTTCAGGCTCAATCCTCAGTAAGAGGCATGCAGAAGGCAGCCTCTCCTTGATGTTTCTATTTATCCCCCACCCTCTCTAAAATCAATTTTAAAAAAAACATGAAAATTATTGAGCACCTATTTAGCTCCAGGAGCAGGAGATTTAAAGGGAGTCGTCTCTGCCTCACTCAGCTATTTGCTCCTGGCATTGGACTGGGATGGCAGAGGAATAACCAAGTCTCTCTTTTGATACCAACTCTGGAATCTCGGGACCAGGAATGTTACCCACCTATAAAACTAAGTGTGGTGCAGATGAGTAAAGAAGTGCAGGCCTCCAGAAACCTGACAAGCTCATTAATGATGGGGTTTGTGCGGCCCAGGTACTCCTAACTCTGTGGTAGCAACTTGAAGATGAGTCTGAGAGGCAAGCGCTTGAGGCATGTGAACAGTGGGAGGCAATGGAGAAATTCAGGGTCAGCAGCAGACCAAAGCCCCCAACTGATTTTAGTAAGGAAGAGCAGGAATGATGGACTTCTATTTGCCATAGGAAAGGGAGGGAACAGGGTGGGGGGGTGCACCTTGGGCCCAAAGTCCTGGGACTCCCTCCCACAGGGCTTTGAATTCTCAACAAACCCTTCTTGGCTTGTCCTGAACTCAGAGAGGTCAAATTGGTGTCCTGAGCTGCTGTCATTTTAAATTCATTTTGACAAGTGTTTAATTCTTCTTTATCACAACCCTGGTCTAAGAGTGATATGCAAATGATGGCTATTCTGCCACATATAAAATGTGCAGTATCTCTCCATATGATCTGTCAATTAACTTCGGTCTGGCCCACCAGCCACGTTGGGGGTGGTCCTGGGCAGGGTGGCCTCTGGCCTTCGGTTCCCTCCATTAGAAAAGCATGCACGTGGCCCTGGGCAGGTAGCTCAGTGGTAGGTTGGAGTGTCGTCCCAAAATACCAAGGTTTCAGGTTTGATCCCCGGCCAGGGCACATGCAAAAATCAGCCAATGCATGCATAAATAAGTGGAACAACAAATTGATGTTTCCCTCTCTCTCTCTCAAATCAATAAATAAAAATTAAAAGAAAGGCATGCATGTTCCAGGTTCTGTAAAGATCTTAGCAGAGAAGCTGCCAACCATGATCCTGAGATGAGTGTGGGTGTGAGTGAGAAGTTTTGTGTGTGACTGTGTGCCCATGTTGGAGTTAATGGACACAAAGGTATTTGTGAAGATCAGTATGCACATGTGAAGCTCTGAGCTTGCCTAAATGTGTGAATGTGCAGCCATGAGCAATTTTGGAGACCTGAGTTATGCAGAACAACTGTGGAGCTCCAAATCTCTGGAGTTGTTTGTTCACTCTTCTCTTGCATCCAAGAAAGTAAAAAAAGAAAAAGAAAAAAAGGTGTCCAGAAGGGACAAGATCCCCAGAGAGCCTAAAAGAATGCCATCAATGAACATATCTTTCCTAAGTTTAAGTCTTTTTCCTAAGTGCCTGCTGAGGGAGGAAGATGGTTCAGTTCTTTCTCATGACCACCTGCTCTTTGCTCTCAAAAACCAACGTTTTCCATCTGGTAAGAAATGCATTCTCTATGCAGAAAGGCTGAGGAAATTCTAGACATTGGTTCCAAAAGAGAACCCCACATTTTTTGGAAAATAGTTTATTAATTCATTATAAGGACAGATACATGATCAATGCCTTGGCTTAACACTAAAAAAATGTCTTATTTGTAAAGAGAAAAAAAAGCTGGAAAATAATTAAATAACATAGCATAAACTAAATACAAACAAATAAATGAGCAGGTATGATTACACTTGTCATGCATCAAAAAAAGGGGAGGTTTTAAAATGAGACTCAAAAACGTAAGGCATCAATGGTAGGTGACAAAGGGATTAATACCCTGTAAAAGGCCAATAGACTCTTTTCTAATAAAAATACTACTACAAAGACACAAACCCAACACTTCCAAATTACCCAGAGTCCAAAATCATATATAATACTAGTGAGTAATGGCCACTTTCTTATCAACTGTGAGTTATAGGCAGATACCAGATTTATTACTTATTTGCTTTTGAGAAACAATTTTCCACCCAACCTAATGGGTTATAAATTGTCTCATTTGCAGCTATTTAATTTAAACCAGAACCTCAGTGCCTGTTAAACAAGAACATGAAAAATGACTACGTAGTGTAATGCTAAGAGCCTACTGTTAAAACAGCCATTTAATTCAGGGCAGTTTTTTTTTTCTTTAGAAAAAAAATCAAACCAGCAAAATAAAATGAGGCTTTTGACCTTCAGAGCAATGATGAAACATATAGAGTGGTGTTAGCCACAGCAATGCTGAATGCTACAGAAATAGTACAAGTGACAATCCTGTCCTTAACAAGATACAAAACCAACATGACTAATCTTTAGTGTTATCATAGGCTGGTTGAAGGAGGGGGAAGGGAAAGAGCTGTAGGTGCGATGTCAACCGTGAGTGACACCCGAGTGTAATAAACACAGATGCCGAAAGGGTCTGAGGAAGCTGCAACTCTGCTGAGAGACATTTTACCATTAAAAAAAGAGGGGGTGGCGGGTGAAGATAGACTGGTTATTTCTAATTTAGCCCAGAAGCCACAGTTAACCCTTGATATGCCAATCAGTTAAAAAGATGCATTTAGGGAGAAAAGACCCTACATTTCATACTCCTATGAGAGGCTGAGGTGCAAAAATCAAATAAATTGCATTGTTTTCTCTACACAGGAAATGGAAGTCAAGCTTGTCCTTGTGTGGCAGGTCAAGGGAAAATGACTTCAGGATTGAATTCAAAACAAAACAAAATGAGCCAATTGCCCTTGTCCTGCGCAAAGACCTCCCTTCCAGCACCCGGAGGAATGAGATTTCTCTCGATCCTACCCCATCGGCTCACATTCAAGGTGCTCAGAGTGGGAACCTGCGGGGCTGCAGAGCCCCCTTTAGCTTTAGCTGGGAAGGAATGTCCCAAACCCCCCTGCATCCAGCAGGCCTGCCTCCCTGCATAGACGGGAGGGGGGAGTTTTATCCTGAGCCTCTGGGTTGTGTTTCTGTTTCCCCATCTCAAAAGTCCCCTTGTGTGGCTTGGATTCATCACCTCCAAGGAGGACCCTCCCATCTCAATCCCAGGGGAAAAAGATACGAGGGAAGCTGGGAGGTCTTCAAACCTGCACTGGGGGTGGGCAGCCTGCCTGGGTGGAGGCATACGGTGGCACAGAGAGAGGAGGGGGCAGGAGGGTACCCGGTAAAGTGAAGGGGCAGGAGTCACGCTATGGCCTCGAAGCAGACATGAGGTAGTCATGTTGTTAAGGGAAGGAAGGCGGGAGGCCACATGACACAGTCTATGAGAGGCGTGAGAGAGGAGAGGCAGGCAGCAAGAGGAGAGCCAGAAGCAGCAGAGAGGAAAGGAAAGACTGTCAGGGAGGAAGCGAAGGGCACTAGAGTTGGGAGAGCAAGTTGGCGGGGGAGAGGCCACCGGAGTAGGGAAAGGAAAGGAAGGAGGGGAGAGCAAGAGAGAGCAGATGTTCAAAACCAGGCACTTCCCAAATTACAAAATCAAATGCAGAGATGCTCCGAGGGACCAGAGTCACCCTCTCAGTTTGGGCAATGGAACTAAAATATTAGGCGTTCAGGGCCTACTTGCACTCAGCCCAGCCAGACAGGAAAATGGGCCGGGGCTGTCTTGTCAGACAGGGCATTGGAAACACTCTCAGAGTGTGTAATAAAAGGCTGGGTGACGGAGGTGGGGGACCCACAGGGCTGGGCACTGGCCGTTCTGGGGCACAGTCCTGACCTGGAGGGCCAGGTAGGCTGTAGTAACCACTGCCTGGACCCAGGTTTCCCAGCTCACCAACCAGCACACACAGATGCCTCACACATAGCCATGCCTCATGGGTCTCTCACATACCACACGTGTCACAGAGAATGGGGGGAGTGAATAAGCCATTTCTTCCTCTCCCTCCAGCCAAAGCCCCCTAGGAGGCTCCAAATGGCTTGATGATGTTCAGTATCCGCAGGTACACAGGTGTCATATCCCATGACCCATGACAGCCTGTCCCCACTGCACCTCTAGGGGAGCTAAGCGGAGGAGGAGACCGAGGCCCTGGACAAGCCGGGGCTGGCTCCTAGAGGGCAGGGCGCCTTTGACTGGCAGCTGTCCCCAGGGGCCTCCTCCAGAGCCTCACTGGGCTGGAGGTCCAGGTAGGGGCAAGACGGTGCCTCTGGCAGGCAGGTGAGTCTGTCTGGCCCAGTGGTCGCCTGTTCACAGCCTCCCAGCTCCCTGTCCAGCCAGTCTCCCCCTTGCCCTAAATCCGCAACACCCGAAGTGAGGTCGGGAGCCTCCGAAGGCAGGAAATCCTCAGGTTCCAGGTCCTGGAGGTGGAGGTCAAGGTTCCCTTTGGAGGCACTGAAGTCAGAGTGAACAATAACGTCGGCCTCCACCTGGTTCCTGCAGGCCGGGGGTGGCTTCTTCCTTCCGTTGCCCTGGTCAGAGCAGAGAACACCAAGACAGGTGACCGTCACTGAGAGTGGTCATGAGAAGAATGAGCAACATATTTGGGGGGGGAGAGAGACTGACACCCCACAACCCCAGCGACCAGAGTATATATCCCATGGGAGTTGGTAAAGGAATCATGCTGACTACCCTACAAGAGATGGTGACCCATGGGAAGGCAGGGAAAAACGGAATACTGCCATTTGCCCTTGCCCAGGAGTTCCAGAAGTACGGGATCAGTCAGGCGTCAGTGACTAGAAGAAGGGGCTGAAGACGCTCAGGCCCATGGCAACTCTGCTTAGGTCTATGCAGAGGAGGAATTGCCCCCAACTCAGGTGAAACACAGATTCCTGCAAAGTAGCGGCCTCTACCCACTCACCTATAGGGGCTCCAGTGGTCTCCTGGCTAGACTTCTATCCCAGGGACATTACCATCCGGGGTCTCCCGAGAACTCACTACTTGCTCTTCACAAGCATGGGGACCCTTCTCTCCCTTCCTCCCCCTTCCTCCCTGGAAACTGACCTTTATGGCATCATACACCAGAGCCTGCAGCAACAGCGTCTGCCCAGTGCCAGCAGGGGGCAGCAGGGCCCGGGTCAGATAAGGCACAGGGCCTGCCTGGGGCAACTCACAGCCTGCCCAGGAACCTGCCCAGCTCGGCCCACCAGGCTGAGCCCACGAGATCTGCATGGGGAGAGAAGCCGGAGCACTAGCTGGGAGAGGGAAGTGGATGGAGCCCCGCCATGGTCTCTGACGCCCGTCTTCTCCCTCGCCAGGGCTGTGGGGAGGAGCGCAGAATAGCTGAGAGTCTGGAGGGAACTAAGGAGAGAAGTACTCCTGCAGAAAAGCCTCCTGCCATTGTTTTGGCAAAGCCCAGAGGTTTCCCAGCCAGGCAGGGTCTCCTTCAGCAGAGAGACAGGGAAGAGGTGAGGAAAGACTAAGGGCGTTGAGCAGGCTGGTCAGAGGTGGGATGAGCCCCGACTGCCAGCATGGAGGGAGCCTGCCCCACACGGCCCACCTTAGCCAGGTCCCAGTTCCACTGGGCTACAGCCAATCTCATCATCCTCTTTTCCCCGTATTGGAGAGGCTGGGTCTTAGAGGTTTTCCCAGCTCCTCGGGTGAGGGATCTGGGGGTTCTGGAAACCCTGAGTCACCAGCAAACAGCCCATCGGGGGTCCTCCCCTCCTTCCATGAGAGCAGGCTGACCTATTCTGCCAGGGCCCATCTGCTTCCCAGCCCTGCCAACCTTTTCATGGAGGGAGAGACAGTGTCTTTCTTCTGCAGCTGGCCCAGAGGGGTGGGGTGCAGGGTCTCCCACAGGGTTACCCGTTGTGCTCTTGCGCCCCCTGGTGACCTATTTGGGAGTGCGCCACAGTATGGGACTAACCTGCCTAGGCTCCCGGCTCACCTTTCTCTTGGAGTGACCCCGGCCGTCGGAAGCTCCACCACCCATAAGGCTGTGCACTTCAGCCCTGTCCTCGATGTCTGAGGGTGGTGGGGCCCAGTCCTGGGGACGGGGGTGCACAAGGGACTCCAGTTCATGGGTAGCTGGGGGGTTGGGAGATCCAAGGCGGGCTCGGGAGTACAGCGCGGGGTTCCCAGCAGTGGCCGTGGAGGACAGGCCTGGGAGGGCTTCCCTGGAAGGGAAGATGGGTACAGTGGTCAGAGAGTGAGGGGTGGGGGCGGGGCTGGGATCTAGTCCAGCTTATGTCCCTGGGTGGGTTCCTGTCCATCTCTAGGACTGGGTTTCCGGTCTGTGCAACGAGTAAGTAACTGTTTGTTCAAAACAGCTGTGACGCTGCAAATGGGCCCCTTCCTCCCTGGGCTCCAGGCACCTGGAGATTTGGATTCCCTCCTTCCAGGATGCTGGCAGCTACCGAGGAAATGGGAGACAGACAGCTCGGCCTATGTATGCCCTTGTTGAGGGGGTACGTTGGGGGCCCCCCTAAAGCCATCCCCCACTCTCATGAGAACATTACCCCTAATCCCTTCACTCCAGAGACCCAACTTTAATGGGGATTCTGGGGGTGCCCAGGGCAAGTCATGGCCACTTTCCCTGCCCTTTCATCTCTGCAGCCCTTCTGGAAATCTCTGCTCCCCACGGTCAGACTGGCCCCTTCGCGCACCTGTGGGGGCCACGGCGCAAGACAGCACACATGCAGGCCAGCAGGCAGAGGAGGCCCAGGCAGACGCCCACGATGATGCCCGTGACTGAGTGCACATCCAGGGAGTCTGGTTGGGGAAAGAGAGGGGACAGGACAGGTCAAGGCCGGGCGAAGGCCAGGGGTCCTAGATCAGGACTCCCATCAGTGGTTTCCTCAGGGGACCACTGGCTTGAGTCTCACTCTTCGAACAAAATCTTCTGACGCAAGGACAGGAGGGCCCCACAGCCTCACAGAGACCACAGCCACCTCTCTCTTGCACTGTCCTCCCCACTGGACATCTGAAAGTTGTGGTCCCTCCCCATCAACCTTCCTGCCTGCCGCCTAGGGCTGGTTTCAGGGGGGGCAGTAAGTGCGGTGGCACGGCCCGTGCTCAGAAGGGCTCTGTGCTTGGTTTAATGCTGTGCTGTCACCATCTTGAAATTCTTCCTACTTTTAAAATAAAATTAAAAAACACCCTCATTTTCATTTCACATCGGGCCTGCAAATTACATAGCCAGTCCTGCTATCCCCCAACACCCCCATAAAGCTCATCACCGCTCCAAGCCAACCCTCTAATCCAAGCAATCTCCCCAAAATCTGACCTCTAACCGGATCACCACTGAACTAAACCACACCAATTTCCCCTTTGCATCTGTCCTCTCTGCACCAAACTAGGAGGGCAGCTGTCTGGAGGCAGGGCCTTGGAAGAGATGACTTTAGGGTTAGAAGTCAGCTCCAGGGGTCCCTGGAGACCTGGGCTGCCTCCGGATGGACCCACCCTCCCTTCCTGCCCTCTTACCTGCGAGCTTCTCCTGGAGAGTGATCACATCCTGCAGGCCGGAGAAGGGCCCAGGCCCCACCTCTGTGCGGGCCCCCATCTTGAAGAAGTACCTAGTGTCGCTCTCAAGGCCACGTACCTCAGCACTGAAGATGTTTCCTGGGAGGCGGGGGAAGCAGGGAGAGCAGGGCTCTGGGTTGAGTGGGGGTGGATGCAGGGATAGGCTGGAAGCTGGACTGAGAAAGTCTGCTCCGCCCACTCAGGCAGTGGCTTCTGCCCGTTCCTGTTAGAACCCCCAGGGCCCAGGGGCACCCTCACTACTAATCCAGCCACTGGAGAGGCTGGGAAGGGGGAGGAGGGCGGGGAAGCTCTTGCTCCAATACCCCTGGGCGGGAGCCCTCACCCTCGGTGGTGAGCAGGGTCCACTGGTGCTCGGGCTGGGTGTGGTTGTTGCTGTACAGGATCAGATACTCCACGATCTCCCCATTGGGCTCCGTGGGGGGGCACCAGTGCAGCAGAACAGTGGACGGCGTCAGGGAGCTCAGGCGCAGGTCCGATGGGGGCGTCGAGGGTCCTGGGGTGCAGAGGAGGAGAAGGGTAGAGGCGGGATCACTGGGAGCCTCAGCCCCGGGGGGCAGTCGTGAGACAGGGCGTGAGGTCATGGCCTTTCTTCTTCCTCCTTCACTGGAACAAACCACAAACCACAAAGCAAAATGAGGTCTGGTCTCTAACGGGGGAATTTCTGGGAAACATTTTGGGAGGGGGCTTCACCACCAAGCCTCCCCTCCCTGAAACTCTTCTCCCCTCCTTGGAGCAGAGCTCCCTGAACTTCCGCACCCAGGTATTTCCAAGATCGAGGAGACTGTCTGGTGTTCTAGGGACCTAGGGGGCAGAGCTCAAAAATTTTTGGAAGGCTTACATTTTATTTTAAGCTGTCACACGAAATTTGCCATCTATTCCATGGTAAAAATTTAATATAAAAATAGTGTTTAAAATTATCATTTGAAGTTCCTAACTCCCCTTGCCACCCCAAATCTTTAGGTAAAATTGGTTGATGCTCTGTGTAGCCTGTGTCCATGCCCCCAGGTCCTACAGAGTGATGGGCACCCCAATGTGAGAAGTACAACCGTGGCAGACTTTGTGTTTTGTTTTCAGAGAAGAAGCTGATCCTGGGAGGTGGAGGGGAATGAGGAAGGGTGAGAAGGAGGGACACAGGGTGATTGGCGAGTAGGGAAGGACAGAGATTTGGGAGTTCAGGTCTTCAAGGCCTGACAGAGGGTGGGTTGGGGACCTAGGGTGCTAAGGTGTAACAGGGCCACCTCCTTGACCCTAGTGACTCTTCACTTCCCAGGCTCCAGTGTCCCCATCGGAAGAGGGAGAAACCATCCCCCCTCTATAGCCTGGTCACTTGTGCTGGGGAATCCAGTGTCATAAAGTCAGCTTCAAGGAAACACTGGGCCGGGCCGGTGTGGCTCAGTGGTTGAGCATCGACCCATGCACCAGGTCACTATTGTCAGGGCACATGCCCGGGTTTCAGGCTCGATCCCCAGCAGGGGGCGTGCAGGAGGCAGCAGGGGGTGTGCAGGACACAGCCCAATCAATCATGTTGATGTTTCTCTCTCATAAATATTTCTCTCTCTCCCTCTACCTTCCTCTCTCTCTAAAATAAATAAAAACATATTTTTTTTTAAAAAAAGAAAACATTGGGTCTCCCTAAATTCTGTATGCAATTTAAGACCATAATAACTGAGGTTATAGAGGGGTGAGAAACAATTTGTAAGCATTTAAAAAAAACCAAAACAAATTCATGAGACCAGAGGGCCTTCACACCCCACCCCACACACATCTTCCTATTTCAGGTCTGGGACAAAGGTCTTCTGTAGATGGGAAGGTGAACAGTCTTAGGGCCAGTAGAACAGAAGAGCCTCTGCTGCGAGAACAAAAGTCCTTTTGTCTTCAAATGCCATTTCCAGAGAGTTCAAGAGTCACAGACTTGCAGAGTGAATGGTCCCACCTTCTTTCTCTCTCTCTCTCTTTTTAAAATATATTTTTATTGATTTTCGAGAGGAAGGGAGAGGGAAAGAGAGTTAGAAACATCAATGATGACAGAGAATCATTGATCGGCTGCCTCCCACCTGCTCCACACTGGGATCAAGCCTGCAACCGGGCATGTGCCTGACCTGGAATCGAACAGCAACCTCCTGGTTCATAGGTTGATGCTCAAGCACTGAGCCACGCCAGCCAGGCCCACCCTCTCTCTCTCCAGATGAGGACACAGAGGCCCTGGTGGGGAAGGACCCTGCCCCAGTCTCCCTGTGTGTCAGAGGCAGGATGGGACCCATATGCAGAATCCAGGACACCTGCCTCCCCCGTTCCCCGGCCTCTCCTCACCAGCTCAGTGGGTCTTGGCACAGACTCTTAAAAGAAGCCACTCCTCTAAAGCCTATGTTATTACTTTTATGGATAAACAGATAAGGCCAGCACAGGACTGGCCTGTGTAAATGCCAGCAAATGACACATCCTTGTGGGGTTCTGAGGAATAGTTCGGAAAAGGGGGCTTCTGGGCAAGGAGTTGGATAAAGGTGGATTGGTGGTAACAGGGCTGAGGGGCCACTCACGATCTGGCAGGGTGGAGCGCTCTACCACGGAGCCGAACGGCCCATCCACGTCCACGCCATGGGACTGTACCGCAAACTCATATTTGGTGAATGGCTTCAGCCCACCAATGAGGATGTCTTCTCCAGAGCTGCCAAGGCAAGAATGTGACTGGTGATCTCGGGCACGCCCTCCTAGCAGGGCAGCTCCTCCAAATCTACTCCCCTACCCGAGCCCAGCCCAGGCCCTACCCTGGGAGTGGGCCACTAGCACCAGCCAGAGAACCTACAGAGAGGTCTGCATGGACGCTGCTCCCAGGGTATCATGCTCCATGTCCAATGTCCAAGCCAGGCCCCTCCTCCAGGAAACCTTCCTGGATTAACCCGAGTCATACTTCACCCAAGGAACCATCTGTGATGCATCTTTTCATTGATATGATTTTACTTTAGCTGCAAATGTTCGCATCCATTGCTTTTTAGGCAACGTTTCCTTTGCCAAACCAGCAGCTCCCGAGAGCAGGGCACTGTCTCCCCATCTGACTGGGGGCCCTCTCAGGACAGCGGCTGGGCTGTCTCTTCGTCATCATATTGGGAGCCCCCTGAGACTGAAGAAAAGGTCTGTCTGCATCATGTTCCCAAGAGTTCAGTGCAAGGCTCTGTGGTAAAGGGCTGGGATCGCATGGACTCTCCTTTTCCGCCACCAGGTCGTCAGACCCCCAGAGTCCCCCAGGGTAACAGGTGAGGCCTGAAAGGTTTCTGAATCCCCTGGGTCCTTCTCCTCATCACCTGCTGCCCTCCTCCCCCCTCCAGAGGCTCAGCTCCTCTTTCCCACCTGGTGTAATAGGTGACCAGGGAGGCATTCCTGAGCCCCCAGGGGCTGAAGCGTACAGTGTAGTTGACAATCTTGACTGTGGTGAAGTCTGGCTTTTTCCACCGCAGCCAAATGGATGTGGAGCTGTTGGATTCCGCATGGACATGAGCGGGGGGTAAGGGTGGCCCCCTCTGGATGGGCAGGTCTGGAAGGTGAAAATCAGAGTGTGGGGAAAGGAGGAACAGTCATCCTAAAAATGTATGGTGCTTCACAGTCCCCAGTTTAAAGTCATTTTCTTCTACCCTTACTCCTTCGATCCTGTGAATTGGGTAGCATCATTCCCACTTCACAGAGGAGGAAACTGAGGCTCCTGAGAATTTAAGTGATTTTTTTTTTTTGGCCAAGGTCATATAGATAGCAAACTGTGAAAGAGAGAGGCAGCAAATCATGGCAATTAAGAGTACATATTCTAGAGCCAGGTTGCCCTGGTTCAAATTCCAGCTTGCCCCTTACTAGCTGTGTGACCTTGGAGAAGTTACTTATGTAACCTCTCTATGTCTCCATTCCCGCCTCTGCCAGTGGGGCTTAGAATAGTACCTACCTCATGGTATTGTTATGAGGATTGTTAGCTAATATTTGTAAAGTATAAAGAAAAGTGTTGTTTTTCTGTTTTAGTTTTGAGATATAATTCACAGACCAAAAAATTCAGTTTAAAAAATGTACAATACAGTGGTTTTTAGTACATTCATAAGGTTGTGCAGCCACCCACACTATCTAATTCCATAAAATTGTTATCGCCCTGAAAAGAAATCTTGTTTTTACCCATGAATCCCCATTTCACCTTTCCTCCAGCCCCTGGAACCACAAACCCACTTTATATCTCTATGGATTTGCCTACTCTGGAGCTTCTTTCTATGACAGAGGCAGTCTGGACCTCAGTGAGGACCCCTGAGCCTAGGGTTGGGGGTGGGTGAGGTTACCAGACAGCCCGACCACCAAGGCTGGCCCAGAGGAAAGGGAAAGGAAGTTGTCCACAGACCCCTGGCCTGAGCCCCTCTCACCTGGTGTGGGAGCCTTCTCCGTCCTGCCCTTCCACACTGCCGCATATCCGTCCTCGTGTTTGTTGAACGCCACCAGCTTCACCTCGTACAGCCGGCCAGGGACTGAGGAAGGTCGCGGGGTCACTCACTAGCTAGGGGAACCTGTGGGGTCGCTCTTCCCCAGAAAGGATGCCATCTCCAACTCCTGCACTCAGCTTATCCACTACCCCACTGTCTGGCTCCCTCCCCCCAATCCTCCTCACCTAGCTGGGTCAGTTCATACTGCTTCACTTTCTTCTTGAGCCGGACAGGCCCCACATCCCAAGCCTGGTCTCCACGGCCCCCTGGGGGGCTCTCACCATCAGCCTCCTCCTCGGCCCCCACCTCCCGCCAGTACAGTTTGTAGCCAGAGATCTGGGCGGGGTGAGGAGGCGGCTGCCAGGACACAACCAGGGACTCCATCCTTGCCCGTACCTTCAACTCTGCAGGGGCAAAAGGGACTGGGGAGCAGGGTGAGAAGAAGGAGGAGAGAGGGGATGGGGAATGAGGAGAAGGAGGTCAGGGAAGGGAGACGGGGAAGAGGCAGGAGGAAGAGGCATTGAGCGAGAGCCTTGCCAACCTCCTCACAATGATCACCACTCAGCCACCACTCTAAGTGCCAGGCCAGGGCTTGTCTAGAGGCGAACTCACTCTCCCACAAGCCCAGAGTGCCGGGAAGGGAGGAGTGGCTCTGTGCGTGTGCACAGAGGTCAGCAAGGAGCACCTCTGTGGCAGGCCGACGGGCTCTCTACGTTTCCTGAAGGAATGAATGCATGGATACTGGCCAGGCCAGAGGGTCACAGGGTTGCTGAGGCCAGCAAGGAGGGGTGGAGCCCTGGCGTGGGGACCCTACCTGAAGCCTAAATGTGGGGGACTTACTATGTGTTGGACACTGTTCTAAGCACTTTGCACATATAGTTTAACTTCATTCTCACAACCCAATAAAATAATGGAAATACCATTATCCCATTTTACAAGAAATTGACGCTCAGAGAAGTAACTTGCCCAAGGTCACACACTAGATAGTATATGCACCCGGTTTTGTCTGCATTTAATCACTCTACTATTGGGCCTTTCAACAAACCCAACAATTGTAATTATGGAAGCAGCTGCTATGTAACAGCTATTGTGTACTAAATATTTTGTTTGCAATACATTAATTATCAATCCTCCCTCCTCAGCTTGCAAGTAAATGAAGCCTTAGAGCCGTGAATGGTGTGTAGGAGGTCACACAGCAGAAGAAGGGGCACTTGAGGCCAGATGTGCCTGCAAAAGCCAGCCCTTCACCTCTACACCCATCCCCCCTGACCCCTCAAGTAGGGGGAGCCATGGCGGGTCTCTGATGGAGAGGGTGGTTGGGTTTGGGTTCCAAGGCCACACCCACACCCACACCCACACCCACACAGTCACGCACACCTCCTAGTCCTGTCCCCTCTGCACCCATACCATGGCTCTGGTTGTGCATACTGGGCGTCCTGTGCTGCATCCACTGGGAGGGCGCCCCATAGCCAGCCCCTGTGCCAGCCGAAATCCGTACTCGGTACACCTTGTTGGGCAGAAGTGAGTTCAGCGTAAGCTGCGTCTCGTTCCCTGGCACCTCGCTGGAGGAAATCTGATCTGCTGGGACAGAAGAGACTGGCTGCTGGGAGGCCACCTGAAGACAATGACCCCTAAACTCCCCCACCCAGACGCTTCCACCTGAGTCTGGTTCCTCAGTGCCCTTTAGAGCCTGGAGGTGCTCTCAGCACTGGCCCCTCAGGGCCTGGATGGGACCCCATGGCTCCAGAGCTGACTCCTGGGCCTCCCACCCTAGCTGACACTGCCATCACCCCCAGCTCTGAGTCAGGAGAATCATGGCATGTGGTCCCCACTTCCGCATAAGCAGTTAATGATACCCCCGCAGCCCCAACACACACACCAGGGCACAAGCACAGGGGTTGGCTGTGAGAGCCACCAGGCACCACCTGCCTTTCAGAATCCTGACAACCACCCCAAGCCCCTGCCTCACCCTTCCCTCCCTCTTCACCCTCACCCTGGCTCTCCAGCTACTTGCCTAACTTTTTACTCCTTTTAAACTCCTGCCCTAGATTACCGACATCTGCCCTAACACACCCTCCCCAATGCTCCATTCCCCCACCCCTGCAACCCCCACCTCCTTATCCCTCAGCTGCTCTTCGGTGAGCTGGAAGGGTCCCCAGGGATCGCCTAGGCCAGTGGTTGGCAAACTGCGGCTCGCGAGCCACATGTGGCTCTTTGGCCCCTTGAGTGTGGCTCTTCCTAAGCCTTAGGAGTACCCTAATTAAGTTAATAACAATGTACCTACCTATATAGTTTAAGTTTAAAAAATCTGTCTCTCAAAAGAAATTCCAATCGTTGTACTGTTGATATTTGGCTCTGTTGACTAATGAGTTTGCCGACCATTGGCCTAGGCCACCTGCCCCATTTCAAAGATAAGGAAACTGAGCCAGGGGTTCAGCAGGATGACACACTGCAGCTGTAGAGGAGGGGGGCCAGCACCCAGGCCTCCCTCTGCCGTAAGCTAGCCCTCTTTCCATTCCTGCCACCTCCACCCCTAGCCCGCACTCCTCTTTTCTGGGTGCACCTTTCCCTACTCCCCCGTGCTGCCTAATTCCCTCAGACTCCGGGCCACTCTGCTCAGGTCCTCCGAGGCTCTGACCAACTTTTCACAGACACACAATTCCCAGCCAGGTGACCCCGTACCCTACCTCTACTCACCTTCCTTTCCCAAACTGTACTCTATCTTGTACTTCACCACCTGCCCATTGCTCAGGCTGGGAGGCAGGGGCAGCCACGCCACCCTGATGTCCGAGGGGTTGGGGCTGGACAGGGAGAGCTGGGGCGCTGCACTGGGGACTGAGACAGAAGAACATCAGCATGAGCTCTGTTCCACCGACGGGAAGGTGAGGCCCAGGAGCGGTCAGAGACTTGCCCAGGTCACACGGCAAGTCAGAAGGAGGCCCAGGACCAGGATCTGAGGGAGGAAAGGGAGCCTCTCAGGGGAGCCCCAAGCTGGAGAGGAGGGGACATCCCTCCCACCCTGAAAAAGGTTTGGGGCACCATCTTCCACATTCAGTGGGTCAAAGTCACTGGTCCCTGCCTGGCTGGATGGTATGCGGGGGTCAAGGGCCACGTGATATAGGGACTCACAAGCTGAGATCTCAAGTCCCAGTTGTCCTACTGACCCTGGGCAAGTCACTCTCATTTTCTGGGCCTCAGTTTCCCCAACTGTAAATTGGGAAATAGAACCCTTGTCCACCCTTGCAGGGTACAAGAGATGACACAAGGCAGGTAAGGGTCTTGGCACTCACTAGTAAAGAGAGGCCAAGCTACCATCCCCAGGGAGTTCTCTGGACCCCAAGGTGCCCACTGCAGGCACAGAGGCCCTACCATCATCCAGTGTGTGGACCAGCGCTGGGGTGGAGGTGCGGCTGGCGCCCAGCTGAGAGTAGGCCACTACGTAGAACTCATAATCCGTGTTGGGTTCCAGGTCCCGAACCTGTAGCTCTGTTGTGTCATTGTTCACTGCAAACTGGTATTCCACATTGTCCATGCCTGGGGTGGTGACACAGGGGACAAGGGGTCTGTCACAGGGTCCACCTGCGGGAGGCTATCGAAGGATCCTTCAGATTGTCCCCATCTCTGGAATAGCCTATTTGCAGTTAAATCATCCCAGATAATCTGCACTGGAGATTATGAACTCCCCTGGCTTCTAGTGCCACTGCATTAATCCCCCACTGGTTAGGAAGTTCTTTCTGGCATCCAATTGAAGTGACCCCTGCTGCATTTACCAGCTGGCTCCAGGAACCCGTCATTTCCCTGGGAGGAGAAGATCCTGTCCCTTCTCTCCCATATACTGTGACTCAGGAGTAACATGCCACACACACGGACCCCTCCAGCACCAGGCCTAACCCATATCCTCACGGGTGTCTCCCGTGGGCTCCCGCCCCATCCCATCCTAGCCCCAAAGAACGTGGGCAGGCAGCCCTGCAGTCATCCAAGTTGTCCCCGCTCTCAATGCTCTAGCTTGGGCCTCTACTGGGGTGTGTCCCCCCCTCTCCACCCCCCAGCCCCGCAGACGTACCGCGAGCTTTCTGGTAGTGGAGGGAGAAGCCAATGATCTGCTCGCTGTGCAGCTCGGGCCGCTCCCAGGCCACCAGCACGGCGGAGCTGCTCAGCGGAGTGGCCGTGA